CTGACCTACAGAATGCACTTGTGGACCTCCTCTAAATTAACTGTGGTACATCAAAGGATCTGCTCCACCCCAGACCAAACTGCGAAAAGAGTTTTTCCGCAAAAAAACAGTGAAATCTCAACCCAGTTCAGGAAAAAAACATTGGCGATGTAAAAACCAGAGGGAGGGGCTGGGCGGAGGTGAACACCGAGGGGAGCATGTACATTACATACTACAATATTTGGGAAATGTACTCTACTGCTATAGGGCAAATATAATACTTAGCTTATGCTTTTACTGGATTGCACATCTGTTTTTGGACATTTTCTTTCATATCATAGCCAAAGTTAGTACCAATTCTCTTCTTTCTCGTCTTTCCCAGCCCAGTTCTGTGACTGCATTAGCCTGCACATGCACTGAGCCTACAGCGGCTGATGTCTTAATGGAACGCAGCGGTCGACAGCAGCTTGTGACAGTGTGAAATGAGAGTCCACTTGAGCCATTTTGTCTTGCTGCGTTCAGCTGGCAAAAAACAAGTTATCTTCCGTGGTCCGTTCCTTTCGGGCTGATGAGATATGATTTGACTTGTTGCCGGATGTTTATTCTGCCAAGACAATCCAGCGGCGGACAGCGTGTGTGTGAGGGCTGTGACGAGGCCCACTGTCGCCTTTTCCGATTCAGGTGACTGCAAACACGGCACAGAGGCACGCACCGCCACTGTCGAGATGCACCTCCGCCGGTAGGAAACACGCTCTACACTTCACCTCTGAACACATCTCTTTCTCTCTGAGGTTTGGTTTGCAATACAGGGTCGAATGTACTCTAAAACCGGACTGGCGAACTTAACGGCCCGAGTCAGCCCCCATAACAACGTTTCATGGATAATAAGCAACACATAGGCCAGATTTAACGTGCAGGATTGGTAAGATGTATTGGCCCCTTGTTAGTAATAATGTATAAATATAATATGGTTGTAACGGCGATAATAATCCTACATAGATCTACAGGTGAAAAATGGTTCAGTGGCATTTTCTGCTGTAATTCAGAAAACTGTAGAATTGTATGTAAAAAATGTATTGTAGAACTAAGATACAACAGACTTTTATATGGAAAGTAAGATGTACCAATCCTTTATCTGTTACTTTGCAAAAACAGATAAATGCCATTAGAATTATATTTGAAATTCTTAGTAGAAGTAGTTTTTTACAGTTTAAACATACAAATTAAGTTAGATCCAATCTTGAGCATTTTTTTTATTTACTGTCATTAATAAAACATGTTGAAGATTGCAGCCCGAGGATTTTTATTTTTTTTCTGTTCATTATAACGCTGATAATTATGGCTCACAGCTTGTAAAATCTCTGAATAACATGAGAATACTTTGAAAATGGACTGTAAGCCAATCAAGTTATCAAAAAAAGGCTTACCGTACGTACAAACAAAAACAAATACTTTGAACGATACTGTAATTTCCTGACTTTCACCTGCATTAGAAGAAAGCATTCTTTACTTGTGTTTTTTTTGCTGCTCATATTTCTTTTCTTTTAAATCCCAGATAAATAACGACAAATTCTAGATTAAAGCGCGCCATCACAAAAAAGGTACACACCAAAAACAACATGGCGCCAGAATACCCAGCCAGGCATGAACGATGGGGCATTACGGAGGCGATTAGCAGGACCAAATTCAATTAATCTTGACAAATCTCCACAGAGGCAGAACGGAGGAGAGCGGAGCACCCACTCTCCTGGTAATTAAAAGTGGGTGCGTGGAGCGGCATTGGTGACTAACTTTAGGGATGATCGGCTCTGAGTGTCAGCTCGTATTTAGTTTGTCAGAATGTCAAGTCCCCAACTGGTTTCTACTTCCACTTTCTGGGAGAATGACAGAGGACAGGGGTAATGAGCTCTTCCCTGTCACCTCGCACAACCACGGGGATCAGGTTCCAATTTCTCATGTCCGTGCCATACTTTGGAGACAGTCAACAACGTTATTTTTTAACCCCGAACAATGTGAGAGGTGTGAAAAATGCAAGTCAGCAGCTATTTAATCATGCTTTTGATTGCTTTGTGCCACGTGAACAAGCTGCCCAGAGCAAAGAATGCAAGACTGGAATGCACAAAAAGAAGAGGCGGAAAAAAAATGGAATAAAAAAATGTATACTTTCACATACACAAAATACAAACAAACTAATCTAACCGCTAAAGACTCATTTCAAGTGGCATTGTTGGGGAAGTAAAAATGCCGTACAATCTAACGTACAATTGGATTCATAAATCTAATTGCCTGGTCTGAAACTTGACAAACTCATGTCCATGTCTAGGGCTTCTTAACTATTTTCTGTTGCGGTATTTTTTGTTGTTCTTTTAACTGTATTTTATTGGTTATTTGGGCTCAGAAAACAGCCCAAAGAGTTGCCTTGCGTATGAACTGTGCTGTGCAAATAAACGTCCCTTGCCTTGCCTATTGTCTGTTTAAATTTTCAAAACGACATGGATTCACAGCAAAAAAATACATGTTCAGTGCAGTCATTCATAGGGGCCCCGCTATTTGCGAAAGACTGGTCTAAAGCCTGAAGACTAAAGACTAAAATAAATCTCATGTTGGTTGGATGGTTGCCTAGTGAGTAAGACCCCCCTGAGAAGAGAACAACGTTTAAGAAAGGTCTTTAAAGAGCCAAGCAAAAATGTTTCAAGCTTAGATGTTTGTGTTATGATGTGCATTTAAGGGGGAAAAATCGAACCCACCAGCACGCCACCAGCTGAACTCGTACCCCAGTGCAAAAAAGCGACTGAAGTGCATGCAGTATTGACACCATTACATCTTCCAATGACAGAAAACGCTGTAGTTTGCAATACAATCCAGCGAGATCAAGCACTGAAGCAGACCTTTGTAGAGTGAAGATCAGACTGAAAGGCAGCGGCTGGACAGGGGCTGGCGGAGGAGGAGACTTTCAAAGAACACTTGTTGCCACTTTTGAAAGGCTGAGGAGAAAATGTCGCACACTAGAAAATAACCCCCAACGGCAAGAAAGCCAAGTCCTTTCTTATCTGTGACAGTGACTGCACTGACTCAACACAAAGAGGTAAACCAAGGGCACAGCGCCGAGCAGAGGAAACAGTTGAATCGAAAAGAGAGGGCCAGCCGCAGTGAAGTAGCAGGAGCCCAGTTTGTTCAATACACCAAAAGATAGTTTTACGGGAAGAATATAAGGCACAGATAAGAACGAGTCACAGAGGTAGTTGGAGTAGAGATATTAGTAGTGTAGAACTCTCAATAACACTGCTGCACCTGGAAAAGACGGACAGGGTAAGATGCGGAAGACATAGCGGTAGAGAGGTAGCAGTATAGTGAAAAAGTATAAGAGGTAGTAGTAGTAGTAGTCGTAGTGGTCGCTTTGGTTATTAGTCCCTGAGTTAACCCAATACTGCAAACGGTACAGCTGCATCTGAAAAAGGAAAAAAAAAGGATAGAGAAAGAGCAAGAGGCTGGGTTTGATGGTCACAAATGAACAGTGTGATTACAATAATGAACTTGTAAACACATAATAAAGTTGAATAGAGCGAAGAGAGGACAGAGAGATGTTGAGGACGTATGAGAAGAAAACATAGTTTAGTTATTGCATGTCGACTTTGCATCAGCACCTGTGGAAAGAAAGAGACCCTGACATGCAGAAAGTACCAAGACAAGCCCAGCCAATCAGGGCAGAGGGGTGTGGCCCTCTGCACATGTGGAAACACAGTGATTGGATAGATGCTGCAGTTGTAATGCATAAGTGGAGGGATCGAGGGTGTAGGACATGGCCTTTGTGGAGATTTTCACATGAGCAAACTCAACTATAACACAGACCAATGTTTGGGATGGGGCCATGAAATAAAAGTGATCAACCAATAAACAAAATGTTGGCGCACACTGGGGTACTTTTGCACTGCCAATGGTAAATAAACTGAATCGGAATCTGAAATCGGATTCTAATTTTTTCAACGAGCAATGGTTTTAGTTGGCAAGTCAGAAATTGATGTCTTTTTTCTACGTGCTTTTTTCTGATGTTGAAGGTTGAAAAAAAAATACTAATGAAGTTCAATAATAAAGTATGTTTTTTTGTATTTGGTCTAAATAAAAGTTTACAGTACACATTAAGATTCCAAATGGATTTATTAGGTCCATGATTAGCCAGTTACTGTGTACATTTTTTTATGTCCATGTCAAATACCAATTTTCCACTATTATCTCATATGAGTCGCATAAGTATTCATATACTGTAGGTATGTGAATGAATACATTTATTTCACATTTAATGAAATTTCAAATGAACAGATCTTGATCGCTATAAGATTAATTTCTCCACACTAGCGTTTTGATCAATGTCGCGATAGCAAACATCGCCTTGCCTTCCCTATCTGCTAAATTGACAAAGCAATCCAAAGTGAATGAAGTCAGTGCTGTTACCATAGCAACAATCAAATGGCAAGTGCCCCAGGTCATGTGCCCTTAAATCAGCTCTTGGTTTTGTTAATATTCCTATTGTGCTCCGCGGTGCCCCACAACGCGCCCTAACGCCTCTTTAAATCGCACTGTGCCGGATTTTAATTTTTATTGGAAATCGCAGGGAAGGCGAAGGTGTTTGGAGCCAGATAAAGGTACAATATGGCTCAGGGCGACGATACGCTGCGGAGGACGCCAATAAGGGCTGACCTCCTGTTTGCGGCGGGGCGGCCTCAAGTGCTTATCTTAGACCCGCTGCTCCCCACGTGAAAACCTCCACTGCCACTGGTGCGTCGCGCTGCAGATGAGAAAATGGTGTTTTTGTTGTGAGCAGTGCAAATTTCAGAGACAGAAAGAGCAGGAGAGTGTGTTTGTGTGAATGTGTGTGTGAGTGTGTGTGTAGGATTGTCTTTGCGCGTGTTAAAGTGTAAGACGGCAAGAATGAGGGTTAGAGAAGCGGATGAAGCGGTTGTGAATGGAACGAGGGGAATGGGGGGAGGAGGAGGGGGGAGGCTGATGGCGTGGGCAGTACTCACTGTAGGGGACGCATTCATACTGGATCTCCAAATACTTGTAGGTTCCAGGGCAGGGGTCTGGGAACACCTCCGAGCCGGCTACCACCACGCATTGAGTACGATTGTTACACCTGAGAAGATCAAAGACAAAGAAGCGTGTTAAAGCTGGGGTACCTAACTTTTCCCCCATACAAATACATTGTGTTTGTCGTCACCGAAATTGTTTTGTTAAAGTAAAACCACATCTTCAATTAGAAAACATGCTATTTTTGGTTCTTGTGAGAAAAAGCCATTTGACTCTTAGGCCTGGACTCCACCGGGCGCGTCTCCGTTGACGCGCGTTGGCTGCTGTCCGTCAGCCGTCCGTAAAACGGACCAGTGGTCAAACCGGCTGCAGCAGCAGCAACTCTGGCTGTGCGTTTATCAGCCTGCTTTGTTTTTGTAGGAGACATGTTTGGGCATTGTGTGAATGAATGAATGTTTGGCTGATGGAGGAGTTATGTATTGTCGGCGTGCATGTGTGCGTGAGCGTGTGCGTGAGAGCGCCCGTGTGTGTGTGTGTGTGTGTGTGGTGGGAGGCGTGTGCGTGCATGTGTGTTTGGGTCTGTGACTGCAGCGTTTATTATGATCCAGCCTCTTCGTTTGTTTTCTACTTATTTAGCGCATGATACACTTTTATCGGAGCCAACTCGCCTCTCCGCGGCTTTAGGCAACAGGCAGAGCTATAGTTTTAAATAGAAGAAGCGGTGTGTGATGTGCATATTGAAGCATTGAGGACGTCGCGATGGATGAGGCAAAACTTATTGAAAGAAATTGGAAAAAGGGGAGAGAGAAAAGAACTCCAACATATCCAGTGTTGTGAGATCTGTCTCTCATAAGTGCAGCTCTGTGTGTGTGTGTCTGTCTGTCTGTCTGTCTGTCTGTCTGTCTGTCTGGGAGCGCGCGGCGGTGAGGAGAGAGCGCCTCGGAGGCAGACGGGACAGAGCGAGAGAAAAAAGAGCGAGGTGTATGTAAAGATTAGCGTATTAACATTACGCGAAAAATAAATGGTAGATTTACAATCAGGAAACAATTATTTAAATTAATACATAAAAAACATTACACACGTTTGTTAATAATCATTGTCATTAACAAATACTTATAACCAAGGACTACAGCATATATCAATACATGTTTAACAATGTTGTAAATATATTATTCCATTGCATTTTCAATGAAAAACGGACCCGACACGCGTCGACGGACGGAACAAATAGGATTGTTTCTATTTCGTCCGTCCACGTCTTTTGCACCCTCCGTTGACGGAATAGGTCCGACGTGCGTTGGACGGACGCATGCGGAGGCAGTGGAGCCACTTCCATTCACTCTCATGGAGATAACGGAGACGGAGATGAAACGGACATGTTTGGACGGATCCGTCGTCCGTTTTACGCGCCCGGTGGAGTCGGGGCCTTAGCCCTATTTGGGCTGAGTTGATTGGCTGAGTGATGGTGGTCCTCTCATTTGAACTTTTCTGTCTGAAAAGGTTGATCTAATTATGTGACAGACGCCAAAAATACATCAATGTCAAAACTAGTGATGGAAGAAAACTGCTTTTAGAGCTAGGATCTAGTCTAGTTATATAATCCTTTTGTTGCTGTTTGAAATATACTTTAAATACTGTATAATTTATTTAAAAAAATGATGGAATATTACTTTAACTCAGACAACACATTGTACATAATTGGTAATGTCTTTCGAGGATGTAAGTTGCTGCAAAATAGCCTAAATTTGAAACTTACTTTTCATGATTTTCATAAATATTTTTACACATTTTTTCTGTATTCATTCATTTGAAACATATAATTTGCTATAGTTTTATTTGAATGATTTTAATCCAGTAGTAGCTATTAATGATATTTTGATGTGTAGCACTTTGCACAAACCATTGTGAAATGTTTAAAATTGAATCCAAAATGAACCACAATACTCTAATAATTGTACAATGAGCCCAGATATACACTAGGTTGGTTGTGGATTAGAACTGGACGGGAGCAAAAAAATAATAATATCTATTGTTCCTAATTTAAATTGTTCCTACTTTTATTCAAAAGTCTTTAGCCCCAGCTCCTGTTACTCCCACATCATGTATTTGTAATCACGACCTACCGAAGTAGAAATCATTTTATCTTTGATCCAGCCCTAATCTAGATTAAAATTCCCAGTCGCAAATAATTCCTCAAAGTGTCATCATAAACTTGAATTTCAACACCCCTCCTCAGTAAAATCATCTCTCTCTGATTAAAGACCACGCATGAGCACCTACCCCTCAAATCCCCCTAGACCCCCCCAAAACACTACGACAACTACTGTATAAAACTTCCCTGGAGAAAAGCAATATTTTTACAGTGTAAGAAAGATGAAGTGGGGTGCAAAAAACATCTCCAGGCTCTGAGAGACAAAAAGAACGGTTGGGGAAGGGAGTAATTTCACACTAGACTAGATCATGTGACAGCTGCACCCGCGGGGAGAGGGAGATAGAGACAGGAGGGGGGGGTCGAGCGTGGGGGAGAGACAGCGAGAGGCCACGTGACGTCACTCGCCTTTCTCCGGGGAAACAGCGAGTGGGAGCAATTAGAGGTGAGAGAACAGGGAAGGACACAGGCAAATAACTAATATGTATACAATGCTAACGTGCCAATCCCCAATTCAGACTTACACCTAGCCACACACAAACACTTATTCTCATCGGCTCTTAGCATTCCCCTCCGGTCTGTCGCTTCTTCCTGCGTGTAAATCTGCGCCGCTCTCAACTCCATCATCAAATCATTTCAAGCAATCTCTCCTCTCTCCTCTTCCGTTAGCCTTTCAATTCGCCCCAAACACCTCCCACTACTTCTCTCCTGCATCCTTTCTGGCCAAGCGTGCGCCCTGCCTCCATTACACACGTGATGGATAGTGAGGAGAAGGCTGCCATTGATCTGAGGAAGGAAGCAGATGCCTGGTGCAAACATAAAGTCGGGTCCATACAAATACAAGCAAAGCAAAAGTACGTGTTTGCTGGGGCTGAGATTGGTGATGTCGGTATACAAGAATTCAACAGATTCACAAATAATGCAGAGAGTGGCGCTTCCCAGTTTGAAGAAAAGCTTTAGTTGTGTGTGTGTGTGTGTGTGTAAACCAGTCCAAACCATGTGACTTTACCTCTGAGACATGATCTTAAAGGCATCTGGCAAGTAGCATTGTGTATTCTCCATCTGGAAAGGGTCGGCGTCACAGATCTTGTCGTCGGTGCGCCCGTAGTTGGCCGTCTCGATCATGATGACATCACTTCCAGGGCAGCGCAGCTCAATGGGGTAGCCTTCACATGCCAGCTCCCGTCGCATTAGGCCGAAGGGCATCATTGACCGGCTCAGAGCTGGAGTGGAAAGAGGAGGAGAGGGAGAAACACGGTTATTGATAATTCAATATACCTTGATACTTTGAGGAGGCACTTTATTATGAAGCCACATTGTAAACATAAGAGTGTAGTATTCAACAACAGGCAAACATGAAAGTGGTTCTTGCTATGGGTGTGAAAAGCAAATAAGCAACTCTTGACTATACACTAATATTATTATTGTTGCACGCTCTTTTATATTTGAACCTCACAGATTGCATAGTGGCAAGAGGAATTTGCCGCCATACCAGCTTCTCCGGATAGATACTGTGCGACTTGTGAAACAAACTGCGATTTTGAAATGTTAACAAACTCCTCCACACAGACGGCAGGCATCAGCATATAGCTACGCTCACACCAGAACTGAGTGTCCCTTGCAGCTTTTTAAGTCTCCAGCGCATCTATGAGGTGTCGGCACACCATGTTTTAGGGCTCACTTTGCATAAAGAATCAGTGCTAAAACACACCAAACAACCAGGAAAGTAAAGGCACAGCACAGGTTGACCTCTATGTCCACACCTTTTACTGTTAATTAGCTGTCTGCGAGGTGGCTGATGGACTGCGGCCAGATGTAAGCTCTGTGTGGAGGGGTCAGCCGGGACAATGGAGCATTCAGGGTTAATCACTGAGCCAAGCGTACAGGCATGAGAGAGGAGACCCAGAGGTGAGAGAGAGCCACTTAGTGTCTTTAAAAACACAGCACATGCTGCTATTGTGAGTATTTAGCAACATTAAAGGTTTTAAAGGTGGAAAAAATTACCAAAACGAATTGTTTGTCAGCCAGAGCACACACACCCACACATACAGTAAAGTCCACCAGGCTCCTTAACAGCCCAGGTGGAGGCCTGCGGTCTAGACAGTTGAGTAATCTGGCATTGAAGTTCTTCTTGAAGAACAGCCAGAGTTGTTTCCTGCTCAAGCTCCAGCATCTGTGCAAGCAGTGCTGCTGTCCATGGTGCTGAACGTGGGGTGTGTATAATGAGTGGCATCACACAAAAGGCTATAGGAGCTGTCCGACGTCCTGAAAAGGCAGAGGCGTTGTTCAACTTTAAGCACATGTTTAAATGTGGCCATACTGTCTAGTCTAAACAATGCAGTTAAACTTATCCACAGCTCAGAGCTCTTTATGAGCACACTTCCTCCTGACAGACAGCCTCTGACTCAGCCTCTGTTGGCGCTCAAACGTGCCGAGCAGTGCTGTTTTCTGCCTTGATACTGCACTAGCAAGGCTTAGGTTTCAGCCACGTCCACTCAGGAGCCTGGCCTATCTGCCTCAATGTCAGCGTCAGTCATCCCAGACATGCTCCGCAGCAGCTACATGACTCACTGCTTCACGAGTAGCTCACATTTCCAAATGCCACTCTTTTATACAGCTGGGCCTGGAGTTCTGTTGTGTAACTAATGCCATTAAGGCTGAAGCAATTGCACAGACCGACTCCACATCTTTTATGCCTCGCCAGCATGCGGTGTCAGAGCCAAATCACAAAGGCCTAGATACAAACACGCATACTAATTAAAACACAGACACGCAAACAGCAGGCGAGGCAAGACCATAAAAATCCTTAAACAAATGCAAAAGAACACCACACACAAACAGCGACTACAGATGCCCTGGCCCTGTCTCCCTCTCTGGAGGCTCAGTGGGCCTGCAGACCTGCACCAGTGTGGGGCCATGTTCTTTTACCTCTCCTGCAGAGTGACTGCACCGCGGCGTACAGCTGGACACCCATTAGACCCGTAAAACAGAAAGAGGCCACTAGGAGCATTGGCACTCACTTTACTGGGACTGCGGATCAAGGCAGGAGTAGGAACATTAGCCCCCACTGCAGGAGGTAGATTACAAGTACCACACACTTTACATGCCTAATGACAAACAGTCTGGGAATTAGAGAGTTATTCCCTGCATGCAACTGAGCCATAATGCAAATATCTACAATGGAGCAACCTAGATATTACACAACGACGGAAAATTTGTTTTAAATCGGTTTCTCATGTTGAGATGAAAGGCACTAAAGAAGGAATGTGACACTAAGGTGGGCATGTAATAATATGGAATGGAATTGGTGTACATATTTTGGGGATGGTATGTTCATTTAATAATTATTACAGTTGAAGTTACCAACAACACCAATGCTGTTTGACCAGATCAATTCTACCACAGCATTTGAGAGGCATCAAGCTATTCTCAAGATTATTGCATCTATTTATGGTTTTTTCCCCTCCATATCATACGGCGAAACTGTGAAATCTCCATGTATGGGTCAGCAACAGCATAAAGCCGGTGAACGGAAGGACTTGAGCTGATAACAAGCCTATCTGGTAGAACAGCAAATCTGCCATACACTATCATGTTTCACACCTACGCAACTCACACTTACAGCCCACTGTTTGACGAGTCCCAGGTTTAAGGCACTTTCACACTGTAAAATCAGCAGAATGCATCTCTCAAAGTCATTTAGAAAGGGAATTTTTTGAATGGTATTTCCAAGCAAACAAGTGCAGACTCGATTTGAGAGACTGACGGAGTGCTTCTCAGTGTGGATGCGGCTGTGTGAGAGCCAGATGGCCCGGGGCCTAGCTGGAACCTGGCTGGCTCTGAGCAGGGCTTAGATGAGATGAGCGGGGGATAAGCTTGGACTGGCCATGGGCTATGACTGTCCTTCATTCTGCAGGAATCCATTAAGGTTTCAGGGTCTCCGCAGCCAAAAGACACCGCTGTACCCATGTGGCCGTTTAGGACCAACCCGTCATCCTCCCACTGCAATAGCCGGATGACAGATGCCTTTCTCTGTAGCAGCATATGAATAGGTGGATGTGTATTAGTATGACTCATTTACTGCTCAATATGAAACTTGTAGTGTTCATAGATTCTAGTTGTCAAAAGGTTTTCTTCAATTAAAACACAAGCTAGAGAAAGGCAAATATTGTAAATATTGAAGCCTACTGCCAGAGATTCAAATAGAAGACAGAAAAACATTATAGAAAAATAAGGCTCTAGTCTGAAAGCTGAAAACAGCAGGAAGTGTAATGGAGACCAATTTGTCAGTTCAGAAAATAATATTTTCTTTAAAAAACTATTGATTCCATTAGGTTGTGAAGCCTTCGTTAAATGTGGGGAATCCATATCACTTGGATTTTTTTTAAAATTAATTATGAGATATTTCCGAAAGTTTCTGAGGCACCATTGAGGAAATGTTTTTCTGCTTTCATGAAGTGACTGGTTTGAATGAGGACGAGTGAAGGGGGGACGCTCTGTATGTAAGAGAGAGAGAAAGAAAACCTGATTGGATTTGACTCATTATCCTCACTCAGTAATTAAAGCCGGGGGCTGGTGACAAGTTTGGACCATTTTATAGGAGCACTGTTTTGTAAAGACTTTTCATATCACAAGCTATACAGTAGATATGTTGTTTTTATTTTTCAAAATGAATGTTGACAACCATAAATGACATGAGGAAAGCAAACTGTTTTGACTTTAAGAATGTCAAGACAAACAGATTAATCAATTATTCAAAAACAAATTGTGTTTCTTCCCACAATACTCCAAACATATGAATGAAATACTGTGATAACCTGCTTTTACAATTTAAATTGAATTCTTCATTTTTCCACCACGTTTGCGTCCAAAAAGTCCAAACAGCATTTCATTTGAGATACAACGCCACACTGAAGAGCACCAATTACAATGTCTTCAATAGCTTGACCTTGGTCTGCATTATCTCTGCTGCTTTCAATTCAGCAAGTGTTTGTTTGCCAGGGAATAAGTGCAGAGGAGCTGGCCTTGCAGGTAACTAAGAATGGTGATAGTGACTGTGCAATGCAGTCACAATAAGAGGTTATCCATGTGGAGCTGAGAGGCCCTGAGGCTGATGGGTTAGTTGGCTCAATGATGGCCTTTTGTTCCACTTGCAAACTCTCTGTTGATTCTCATTAGCAAGTTAGAAGATCACAGATTTGAAGCGGTTTCACACACTGCATATTATAAAAGTCATAATTTTAGAAGGTGTTATAAGAAAGATTCAGAAACAAAAGGTCATAAGCCACACTCGAATACGTGAGGATCAGATGGGAACGGGCCCTGACTCTAAATTACACCAATAATTCTGCGAGGGGAGACCCTGTGTTCTGTCAAATAATATGTACTTTATTATTATTATTTGTATTATTATTGTGCCTGCGTGGAGCTACTGCTTAGGCTGTTGGCAATTGTGTGGCACTTACCGGCGCACTGTGTGATTTTTTTTGTATGGACAGAGTGTCTCCATGGCGATAATAGCTTTGCCAAGAACATTCCACATTTGGCATAAGACGCATCAATCTGCCACAAGGACAAGGTACACACATCAGTCACATCTGGAGAGCCAACTCAGCTTAAGCCTGGTTCACACAAGACGATTTTAAAATTGTCGGCCGATTTTTTCTCCGTGTGAGACCTCACACACAGAGATAAAAAATCAAGGGTCTAACCTTTGGTCGTACATTGTGTGGTGCAGCCACACGCCAAAATCACGCAAACCACACACATCACAAACGAACCGATTTCTCCCCCGAGAATTCCCAGGTCAGAAGGAAATCTCACAAAATCTCTCGAAATCAAACGTGACTTCAGAGTAAACAATCATGGCGGACGAAGAGTATGCAGTGGCGATAGTTTCCAGTTTGTTTTTAGCAGAGAAAAGACGTAATCAAAAGAAAAAGCGATGGTCAAAGAAGTGTAGACAATGCGAGCATGGACAATACTTGCTACATCGTGATATGGAGGTGAGTTGTTTTTTTCGGTGTTTCCTCGCCGCCTTGTCACCTTGTCTTCTGATTGGCTACACGCCGCAGTCATGGCAACGCACTCGTCTGTCCCCGGAGGACACCACACACAAAGAGAAATCGGGCCAAAACAATCCAACATGTTGGATATCCCCGATTTGAGATCGGAGCAGTCCCAAAGTCCTTCTGAGCGACGAGCGCAGTCTTAAGACACCACA